GAAAGATTTTTTTCTTATTTATTTTTTTAGTTGACTAGTGACTAGTTGTTCTTGAGGAAGATTTCGGGCAAAACATTTAAACTAAAAATTAAAATGGTATAATGTTACAGTGATGACAAACATTAAAATAGTAAATAAAGTCTAGAAGTATAAGGAAGAGTGTTGGAATCTATACCATGCTTCAAGGGAAAGGTGCAATAAGAAACAAAGTATCGGTATTCTAACACAGATATTGTTAGGGCCAGTGAAGGCCCTAACACGCAAACCCAAACGCACTAGAAACAGAAAGCAAGGGTATACTACTGGACCTTAGAGTGGCTAACGACAGGGATAGTCCAAGGTCAAGAGCTGGAAAAAACAGCATTAATGGAATAGACAAGTCAAAGGTTGAGAGCACAGAAATCTGGATAAATAGATAAACTAGCAAAGATTAAATCAAATATCAGAACTGTCAAGGAACATAACCTAGAGGCAAGAGGGGTTTAAATACCCAAAGATAAAAAGCCTATTGGGTAGTCTCAGCACTGTGCACCAAATGTATGTAAGTGACTTGGCACAGGATTTGCATCAACATTGATGCTAGAATGAAATGAGCAATACATTTTCCGAGTCGTGTCAATAATGACTCAGGGATGATGTCATTCTTTGTGGAATTTTTTGAGTCACCTTAATAATAGCATAAGGAAGACACAATTCCTTATAAACACTTGAAGTTGCTTCATTAATGACGCCATATTGACCGAACTCCAAATCACTGTTCGTGCGGGTATAATGTGCTTTGTCAGAATTGAAGCCCCAAAGAAGGGAGACTGCTCTGGCATGGGTGACAGAGATACATGAAATAGCGGTGAAAGAAAAAGAAGCAGAATTCTTGCTTGTAGGTTTAATAACGGATGGTAAGAGAGACTAGCATTGTAAGCCAATAGAACCAAATGTGGGTGCCATATTGCATGGGGCCACTGGTTGAATGAATTCATGTCTCCATAATTTCATAATTAGATACATTCTAAGTAGGAAAGTGGAACTGTGCTTTTTCTAGGAGAGTGGACTGAAGTCTTTGGCTGCTTTGATTAGATAGACAGTGGCCAGTTATTTTATATTTGGAGATTTGAAAAATATTATGGTAATTAAAGCTTTACCTGGCTGAGAATCAAGAGAGTTACAGTTCAAAGCATCAGGAAGGCAGATACCCCCCAAAGTCCTCCTTAACCAATAACCTCACTTAAGTGGGTAAAACCTACCCCTAAGACTCCTGTAGCTCTAAACACAATCTAATCCTGTGCACCCTAACCCTAGCTTCCTCTAGTTCTATGGACCTTCAAATTCCAACTTCTTCTTTGACGTAATTTAACCCTAAAGTTATTCTAGCAGCCTTATTGTAAATTACCTTGTTGTTAATGACTGTGCAGTATTGCTGTGTATTTATGTATGCAACATTACTGCATCTGTGTGACACAGTCAACATTTAAAATTTGAAACTTCTAGAAGCAGATTCCTTAGAAGAAGAGAAAAAGAGCCAGGAGGGACCTGCAGAAGGCATAGGTTATTGTGAAAAATTAGGTGATCATGGCAGACAATGAGTTCAAGACTGGTGCCACCATTTCATAATAGATATAATAAATGGATGCCCAAAGGCCAGGTAGAGAACCTGTGTGTGGGGGCAAAATAGAGATTAATGAATAGAGATATATAATTTCTGGTAAGGGTAAGCAATATGCTGGGGTTTCTTTAAGAAGGGATTTGTCAAGGAAGGGTCTGAGAAGTAGTGACATTGAAAAGGTTACTCCAATCATCATAACTGCTGAGTTATTATGGTGCCAGAAATGTATTGGCCTTGTTCCCCGTTAATGGAGCAAACTACTTAACAATGGTTCGCCCCCTTACCTGGGTCCCCACCGGCTAAGAGGCTCCCTGGTGTCTGCTTATAAGCTTCCGCCTTCTGCAAATCTGCAGAAACTGAAAGCCATGTCTTCAGCCAATGAATGACATTCTGTGGAATGTAAGTTGCACAGAATTGACATTAGACAATTCGGAACTCTAGTTCCAGGCTGGTCGAGATAACCCAATGACTCTGCCAGTGGTGTAGTTACACCTCCAGCAGCAGATGGGTTAAACTAAATACAGACTTCACACACCTTGACCATTTCAAATCCTTATGCTTAGAGTAACTCTTTAATGACTTCCACTTTTGTTTTGCTTTGAGATGACAAAATAGTGCTTCTACTTAACTACCTGAAGGAACGCACCATTAACTAATGTTTTATCTTTTAGTAGATATATCCCAAAGAAAACATGCATATAATTTTTTCTGCATGTTTCCTTTGTGGGTGTATGAAAGAACAGTTTTCAAAAGCTACAGAATAGCTGTCTGCAGCCTTTGCAATCCCTCTCTTGAGCGTGCACGCAATTGCGGCTTTCCTATTCTTCTCAATGAACTGTAATACAGCTCACTGGAAAAGGGAGAAGGCAGGAGTGCTCACAGCACCCTCTACAAAGCAGAAGAATACCTCCCTGGCTGTCTGATTGAAATTGCCACTTTTAAACTGTAAAGTATATGATCGATATGTAGAACTCGGGTGCACAGCGAAGAACTGAGGATCTTTCAGAAGTTTAAATCATCATCTCTACTGGATGACTGCTGTTACAATTTGCCAGGCATTAATCATTAAAAAAGTCCTGCTTTGCTGCCACCTAAAGTGGTTCTGCAACCCAAACAGCTGTGAGAAAAAATTATTGTCTCCATCATCACAAGACAAGATTGATGAAGGTTTCTAAGATTTTGCAGGATCCTCCACTGACATCAATGTTGTACCCTTGCACATTTGCAAGAATGTAGCACTGATGTCGGATCATGGGGAATGAAGTGCCCAGAGCTGAAGAGAGAAGATGGAGGTACCCACGGTGGACAGTATCAGGTAAATATAATTCACCTTTGTTGCACCTTCAGGCCACCGTGCATCAAATGGAAATGTCACCATCAGGGATCTTTACAAAATATGCAAAGGTGACAGAGACACTTTAATCAAAACTTTGATAATCATAAAAATGAGCAGTATTTATTATTTTTGTGACACTTTGAACAGTAGGATTTATGTCACATATGTCAGCTGTTTGTTTGAGTAGTAATAAGAAGTATCAAATATTGTTAATATTAATTAGAAATTAATAAAGAACCCCACACGCCCACTCATGTTAGCTCCAATGTACAGATTACATTGCTTGGACATTCTATTGACCTTCTTTGGTTTTAGTCCACCCACTCATCCATCCATCTTTCTATCTATCCATCTATCCATCTATCCAACCATCCATTATTCAACCATTCATCCTTCTATCCATCCATCCATCCATCCACCCACCCATCCTTCCTCCCATCCATCCATCCCTCTATCCACCCATCTTTCCTCCCATCCATCCATCTATCCAACCATCCATTATTCAACCATCCAACCATCCATCTATCCATCCAACCATCCATGTTTCCTCCCATCCATCCATCCATCCATCCATCCATCCATGCATCTATGCATCCATCCATCCACCCATCCATTTATCCACCCACGCACCCACCCATCCACTCACCCATCCATCCATGCTTTAAGTTTGTTTCCTTTTCATAGACTTTAGTAAATCTCTCATACTCCCTTGCACAGAAAATCCAATACATTCCTTCAGTAAGAAAATGTTAAAAAACAAAGTACTTGAGGAAATACATGTTTATACAAGTCACGCTCCATGATGTTTTTATTTTCGTTTTTGAAAGACAAGGGCTTGAAATATGTTTTTTTGCAGACTGTATTTGAGGACGGCTATAGTATTTCATCCTCTCTACATTGTTTGAAGCTTCCTTACATACTTGAAGAAGTTTCAGATCTCCTTAGGACAGATATATCTGCCAGCTAAGTTGAACTGCAGCCGTACCCAGATTCCATCTGTGAGACAGCAGGTGGGCTGGTGAGACCCTCGATCCTGCTGGGAAACTACCAGCTGTTCTCTGGAATTCTTAGAAGCTCTGGAAAATGAACAAATACTGTGCAGACTTGTCAATTGAATCGCTACTGATTCTATGAAAATCAAGATAAGAATGGGATGATTACAATTGGCTGCCATGGAATAAATTTCACTGCAACTCATATGTGTATATGTTGAGTGAACGTTTTTATTTTTGTTACATAATTGAATTATTTATAAAGTGCCAATATATTCTTATATGTACAATAAGAATACAAGACAAACAAAATACAATGCTCGTTGAACAATAAATGGACTGAACAAGCGCAAACAGAATATTAAAAAAATACAAACAACTTTGTGGCTAAACAAAGCCAACACCAGCGCGATAAGTGGAACACTGTAGTGAAAATACACCTGCCCCTATAAACAGTAAGGGTATCTACAGTTCAGTGATATGGAAACAAAAACAAAAAAATAACTAAAATAAAATATAGTGTACTAAATTGATAATATATAAGGTGCAGTGTAAATAATGTAGCTGCACTCACATAGGACAGAGCCTTATGGGGATAGGTTCAGATTGTGTGTACTATGGGATCACTATCCCTCTTCTATATTTAAACCACAACATCTTAAACAAAGAACAAAAACAATGCAGACATATATAGTGCAGTAAGTTTGATGATAAAATCACTGGACCAAGAGACAGAAAATTGTTTACATTTAAAAGAGCCCTAGTTACCTTTTGTGGCAATAAAGGGGGACACAAACCCTTCTTGAGTGCATGACTCAGGTATAGGATGCCACAGGACCAAATGGTAGAGTGCAAAATCTAATTTATTAAAATATAGAGTAAAAACATATAAAAAAAAAAAAAAAAAAAGTCATTGGGCGATTCCTCAAAGATGCGTTTCGCTGACTTGCAGTTTCTTCAATATCTCGACTTCCATTAAATGTCCTTTTTAAACAGCTTCGTTCCATGTGATTGGGTAGGTCCGCCATGAGTCCTCCAATCACAATTTGTGTCTGCAAAGTCCTGGTAACTTCATAACCTAACGATGAAGTCTATAACTTCATAACATAATGATGAAGTCTATTTATTGTTTGCAAACAGAATATTGCAGTGCACCTAAGAGCTAAATTTTAATGAAGGACAAAACATAAACACACACGTCTCAGAGGGTATACAAAGCCTTTTTCAATGTGCAATATTTTTGTTTGTGCTTGTTCTGTCCCTTTATTGTACATGCCTATAATACCAAAACAGCATGGTGGTTTGTTGGACAAAGCTGTACGGAAGCTAACGTACATCAGTCTAAGCTTGTATATGTTGGTTATTATTTTAGATTTTTTTTATACTGCGGTATCTTTTCCTCTTTTTGATCTATTTTATGTAATTTTATACGGTCTATTTTATACAACATATATATATATATATATATATACATAGTGAGACAGAGAGAGAGGTGGCGAGGAATGCAACAATGGTAAACCACAACACCGAAATAAAAATGGTTAAAAAATTTCTATAGAACCACAAGATGGTGTTATTTTTTCTAAACTACACACTTTGATGTTACATATGACATTTTTGATTTAGAATTAATAATAATGTAGTGTTGGGGTTAATATTTAGTGTAATGTGTTAGGGCAGTGAAGAGCTGAAGGGGAGTAACATACATGCATCCGTATGTATATATACACATGCATTGTTTAGCACAAGTATAATGATTAAACATTTAGGTGAGAAACTCTTTTTCAGTTTTGCATACAACATGTACTTTGTAGTACAGATCAAGACAGATATCATAAAATAGCTTCATTTATTTGATGTAATTTTGACTTTACTATATAGTGGCTGATTGGTTCAGCTGTGTGTTTTAAGGAAAATTAAAATTTGACTACAAAATGTGACAACTTTGGAGCCTATCAAAATGTTTGTAAAACAGAGAATATAGTCCCTGTTCATTATTAATCAACTATTAATGAAAACCTCCATGATGACACACTTCCTTCACGTCAATCATCTCTTCCATTGTAGAGATTCTTGATCATCACAATAACTCCCACTAACTTATATTTAAGAATAAAATACTTCTATGTTGAGTTCCACTTGGACATCTTACATGATCTATCTATTTACTGCACATATATCATCTTAAGCACACGCAATACCTTAATACAATATCTAAGTAAGCTTTCCTCAGCCAGTTTCCTGTCCATTTTATCTTGTGGGTTCTTTAAGTTTTGAAGGATTTAAATTAGGCGTCTTCGACCCAACCTTCACAACTGCACTGAACCCAGTGATAGATCTTGAAAAGGACAGATATTTCATCTTTTCCTACTTTTCCCTGCTTCAAAGTCTGGAAGTATAATTAATAAAATGAAGACTGTTCGCTAAACAGCAAGCTGAGCAAACTAAAATGTGAATTGCAAAATTTGTGTCAAAAGAGTTGAGTCAGATAAAATCTAAGAAATAAATCTATGGTCAAAGTTTGTCTTTTTTTCAATTCGATTTTAAATTGACCACAAGTCATGGTGAAAAAACTATAACAAGTTGTCTGATCACTAAAATAAATTTTTCTAAAATGTATAGGAAGAGTAAATATGGGTTAAATTCACACCATCACAAAGCAGGCAACATTTACTCTCTTTAGACCAACGTCTATCAAGTTCTTCAGAGACAAATACATTGTGTACTTTTTGGTGGGTTTATTGATTCTACTGTTGAGGTTAACTGTTCCCCTTTCTGTGACACCCTTTTGTGTAAGTGAATGTGGGCTTGAGGTTCTATGTTACCATGGCTCTCAAAGTTGCTATGAATAAAGACCAGCAAACGAGAACTGTGTTTTATAGATCTCACTGCTTCTTTTACAGGACCACGAGCTGGGATGAAGGAAACATCATGTGAGAATGTCACTTTTTTATGGATTTTTTGACTAGAAAAAATATGGCTGAAAGGTACAGTGACGTAGTCAACATTTGGACGTGCTTCACCAACTGTCAGGTAAATTCCATCCATTTCTGCTAAAACCCTACTTACTTTGTCATGCTTTGCTGAATCAACACTCAACTTAACACTTTAACCTGCAATTGACTACCTTTTTGCTTTTGTTAAGGGACCGGTAATCATAGGCAGGGTTTGGTGGGCTGAAGCCCTGGATGTTGGGCTCTTTAGCTTCAGATCTATGCAGTTGGTGGATAAGACAGAAGAATATTAGTTATTTGTTTGTTTTTAAAATGTTATATCAGGTGTCTGCTTTTCAAAACATCCACCCAATATAGAAAGAAAAATGAGCAGTGTAGTACTCCACCAGGTTACTTACGGGAGATGGTTGGAGCCCACCAGTCATAAAGGGGTGCTGGAGAACCGAACTTTGCATTCAATACCTGTGCAACATATGCTTGCTTACGATTATGGTTTAATTGAGAACCTGGAGAGCATCAGCATTACGATATTCATGGTTCGAGAGGAAGGGATAGATCATGAATGATTTCCAAAGTTCTGTTAGTGTAGGGCTCATCAAGTTTTCCCTTGGTCTGAAGCCCCAAGTGTATTTGGAACCTAACAACACCACTGCCTGTAATCTTTCTGTCTTATGCATGTCTGGGCTGTAAATCCTGTCCTAAGTACCAGGAGAAAGGATTTAGAACTCTAAGATCCACTAGAACATGGGTCCTGTTTTACAAGAATGTGCAAGTTTCTCTATCTCGCTAAGTAATTTCTAAAAGAGAATTTTATAAAAGTGGTTAATATAAAATAAAAGCGCTTCTCTGCAGATTTCTCATTTTAATTTAATGTTTAATTCAGAAAAAAAAATTAAGAAATAATGCATTACTTACGATCTTACAATTATATGAAATGTCTGAGATGAATACCCAGATACTGAAGGATACTCATGAAAGTGTTAATTTTTAGGCAAAGAATTATATTTGATTTCAATCATTAATGCACTATTGATTGTATCCAGATACATTCATGTTGAATTAAATATACATTTCACTTGAATTTTATATTCACTTAAACATTAATATCTTTAGGTCTTGTCAAATTGTATTGTAGCGCAAATTAATCACAGTTTGCCTAAAAACTCTTTGAGTAAAAGAGTAAAATAGATGTATATGTCTAATTTGCATGTTTTTGGCAAAGGGGGTAATAGTAAACATATTCATTTTGAATACAATGGACAGTTTTCATAATTTCCAAGAAAAGTGTATTACTAATTCTAGTTGTAAGTTATTGTATGCAGATCCATTTGGGGGATAACAGTTCATCCCAATATATAAATGCATTTAATAAATTAATAGAATCATACTACATTATTTATTTAATAGCTACCATATGAACTTTTGTGGCCTATGAAATGTTTTTTACCTTCAGGATTCGAAAAACGGACGCCATTTTATATGTAAGTGGAGTTCTAGTGGAAGTCTAGACAGTTTACATTGTACGTACATATAACACGGTAACTTTAGTGATGTTGCAATTTTAAAAAAATGAGTCAATTAAACACCGTCATCTTCAAATGAAAGGTTACCAAATGAACCCTAATTACTAACCAACTCTAAAAAGACTCTGAAAAAAGCCAGGTGTCCCAGTTATGCCATGTCTGTGTCCGTACATTCTCTAAGTTAGAACCCAGAACATAGGAGAATATTTTAAAGAAGTAAGAGGAGCCAGGAGTGAACATTTAAGGTATAGCAGAGAAACGTAGAGCAGATCATTATATTAAACATACATGTAGCACACTGTGTAGCCTAAACACACATATTTACTGAAATATACCTTCATCCACATACATTTTATTTTTACCCACAACACTTTTTTTTTTTAAATTTGAAAAGAGTGAGTGAGTGAGGGAAGAGAGAGAGTGCAAAGGGAGCAACTGAGTCTGAAAGAGCGTGGAACTGTGTATGAATCAGTGTTAATTTTCTTGACTAACAATTTTAGTCAGATTTTAGTTGACTAAAATTTTTTGAGATTTAGTCGACTAAAACTAGATTAAAATAAAAGCAATTCAGATTACTAAAATGGCTTTTTGTCAAAAGACTATGACTAAAACTAAATTGAAATTTACTGTCAAAATTAACACTGCGCAGAGGGGCTGTGGAAGGGGCAAAAGACACAGACCAGGGCTTGGGAGAGAGACACCTACAGGGGCTGGGAGGACACAAAGAGACCCAGAGGGGCTGTGGAAGGGGCAAAAGAGGCATATAAAGGCTTTAACTAAATTAGTTCGATTTTAGTCGTGTCGACTAAAATCTGCTGGAGATTTAGTCAGCTAAAACAATTCAGATGACTAAAATACGACTAAAGCTAAAATGGCTTTTTAGTCAAAAGACTATGACTAAAACTAAATGAAAATTTGCTGCAAAAATTAACACCGGTATGAATGGCATGAGGGGTGGTAGTAGGGGCGACGGAGGCCTAGGACACGGACACGGAGAGGTATGTAGTGTATGGCGGTTGGAAAGTTTACCAAGTCAGCCTGCATATGGAGGAGTACAACAGTGCCAGATAATGTTTAACACAAGGACAGAAAATGACAATCAAAGCTATGGAAGGACTTTCTGGTGTCGCTGACTCTGAAGATACCAGCAAAGCTGCTGGATATGGTAAGTTCATTATAAATATCAACTATCCTTCCTTGTCTTTAAATGTAGTGGTTACATCAGAGCTAGGGTTACTTGTCAGCTCTGTTGCATAATATCCTTTTACATGTATTTATATGTGTTAAAATGTGTTTTATCATTTATTCAGATGTATATATTACGGTAAAGGAGTTTAGCTTTTAAAGGTGTATAATGGGTGTGAATAGATGTACTTAGCATGCAGAGCTACAGATTTATGCATGTGCAATGAGAAGCTTAGAGTTATGTAGGTAGGAAACAAAGCAAATGTGAAACAAAGTCTCTCGTAATGTCTCCTTTGCATAATGTCTCTCTACAAGAAGTCAAGACACTATAGATGATCAGTTGTTCTTCTGCAGGACCGGAAGCCAGCATGGCAGATAAGACATCTCCTAAATGCTGGCCTCCACATTACATCCCTTCCATCAATGAAGTGAGGACTGGTAAGAAGATTGGAGCGTTGTCAAGAAATGGCTGCACCACAACAGGCTCCTCAAGAATGGCTGTTGCCAATGGGCAGCAAAAGAAGGGATGCATAGATCACTATATCGGCTGAAACTGAAACCCCATGATCCCTACACTTGTTCTCATCACTATATCCTATCAAGTCTTTTGGACCAGCAAGCAGCTCTGTTTAGCATAGAGCTAAACAGAACCACCAGAGTCCACACAAGGACATCTGAGACATCACTACAAAAGCCTTGAACACTGACCTTTCAGAATCACACACCAGAATAACTAGAAAAACAAGGTGGGAAAGGATTCCTGCCACATCCCTAAAAGAAAATATACTTCTCCTCATTGGTTTTTCTTTTCAATTAACACTGGTACATTTAGAAGATGTGTCTGTGACATCGTTCTAATTGTCACATATTCCCGAGGAGCTGAGTTAGACCTGCAGCAGTTTTTACAAATTGCTACAAGCCATATTTAGAGCTGTGGTCCTTTAATATCTGGGTTCAGTGCTGTACCCAGTTATCCTGGGCATTGTTTTGAGTACCACACAAAGTCACACAATGCATTATGGTCACTTGTCCCTAGCCCTGTTTTCATCTCTGTCCAGTCCATTCAGTGATGGCTCTCGCAGGTTCCCACAGAATTCAACTTGAGCATTCATTTTTAGACAAATGCAAATTGATCAGAATTGTGTGTGATCTGTTAATTCATTAGAAAAACTAAAACAAATGGATGAATCACATTTTTAATGAAATGAACGAAAACAAAATTACTTGCTAGATTTAAATTAGCCCATGCAATTTGTTAACTAGCTTTTTTGCAAATTGCAAGGAGAAAGCTGCTAGTTCTCTCATTAAGTGGGAGATGGGGTTGGGAGTGTAAATTAAATTGGGGGGACCTGGCTATATGTCACACCCACAACTGTGGGACGGTTCCATACACTGCCCTTTCACTACTGCCACAGTTGTTTTGACATATGTGCAACTCCCATCATGCTCAGCCAGCTCTATTAAAAGGAACTGCATTTTGGCTACAAGTGGGGGGTGGGGATACGCTTCATGGTCCAAGGCTCATCCTTATTTGTAGCCAAAGTGCGAAAACTAATACCTGTAAAATGAAATTCTTACCATCAGTTGGCTAGTAAGACATCCAATCAGAGCGCTCTGACTGGCAAGATCCACTTCTCTCTCCCCCTATTATATAATTATTTAGAGTCCCCACCACGTCCTCCCTCCTTAAAATTATTATAAGGGCCCCCAGTGTTCCGTACAGTTGAAATCCAGACCTAATTTAGGCCATATTGAATACCTTCACAGTTTTTGATTGAACAAACCGTGCTATTGACCAAGAGGAATTTAAGATGCCCTTCCCCATAGAAATGAGAGGTACTGATATGAGGTATTATCTGAGACATATTCATTACAAAATCATACACACAGTGGCTATAATACACAGAATACAATTGGCTGAGAAAAATTTGTCTTTTCTTACCAAAAATGTTTTGTCTGTTAATTCTTGTGTTTCGAATGAAAATCCTTTGACATTGTCCTTTTGAAAATTCCATTCAAATGAATTGAATACCATTAACAAAGACAAATTTCCATGCTATCAATTAAACTATAGTATGTCTTAGTCATGTCCCTAATTTGGTACCCTTATCTTCCAAAGCCTACGCCTAGCCATTTTGCAATACCAATGTGATGGAATTGCATTGTAGATGGCTTCCATATCTGCTATCAAATCAATTAAATCGATTAATTCCAAATTAGGGAGCTATATCTTTAACACAGTACTGGTAGTATAGAAAGGCACTGGTAGTAGGTACTATTGTATTCATACCTACCCAATCAATCAATCCCATTGGCATATGGTAATCCCAAATAAGGATACCAAATCAGGGAGCTATCTATTAAAAACTGAAACATCTGAATTTATGATGTAGCCCTTTTCCTTCACTGTTCCAGCAAAAAGATCAAAATTAAGAAAAGTGATTTTTCTTTTCTGTCAGCTGTCACTTGATTTGGGAATAAAATCAAGATTTAATGGTTTATCCCCTAGCTATCAATCATCTCTTTTTCTGGCACCATCAAGAGTCAAAACAAACATGCTTGTCCATTGCGCGTTTTGTTTGGTTCGCGATTGGGCTACATTTCAGCACCAAGAATTTGGTTGATCAACCTATCAGCCCATGTTCTAACAAACTGAAGTGGAGTTTCTCCCTTAATATAGGAATCATACATTTAAACAAAGGTGTGCTGCATTATTTTGTAGTGGTGTACCCGTTACAAATATATATATATTTTTTTTTTAAAGGTGAAAGTTACTAAGTCATTTTTTTTTAAGAGTATACTTAAAGTGTATACACTTTCAAGATTACACAACAGAAAGTACATCAGGAAAATATATGATTAATGCACAGAGTATGCAAAGAAGTATTACTTTGATGACTAACAAACTGTACGTATAATATAAACATTGCTTTCATCACATAAAAGGGGGGATGGAGGGAGGACTCGGGTAGGGAGAGAGGGTTTTAAGGTGGAAGGAAAATGTAATTGTATATTATATTTATTAAACTGAATTAAACAGGATTGCTTGTTTTGAAATTATCAGCTACATATTATTTAAAAAATAAAAGTTCAAGGAATATGGTATAAAAAGATGCTTGCTTACCTATAATCTGATCTATATCAAATTAGAATTAAATGTATGCTTTTTTTTGATCTTTAACCAGATGAACAGCAACTAGCAATGATGCAAAGTACAGACATAAATGGGGAACATGAAAGACAAAACAGGGCTTAAAAAGGGGCAGAGCCAGTCTGCTAAACTGGCTGGTCGCATGTTGCCTGAGCTCCAGGCCCGAGACACATATTTTGACAAATTTCTAAGTGCAAAACCACCCCAAACCGTGCAATGCGACTACAAGCTACCCGTCAACGGACTGGGGGCAC